AACGCAAAAACTCGCAGTGTTCAAGTCACGCAAAACTCGCAGTGTTCAAGTGTCTAGAGGGCCTTCAAGAGGGCCTTTTGCAATGTCATTTACACCACAGTATGTATTCTGCATTTTACCCCTAGTATGCAGTCTGCATTTTACCCTCAGTCTGTATTTTACCCTCAGCCTGCAGTCTGCAATCCACAGTCAGTTTTGCAGTGACCAGTTTTCAAATGAATGAGGATCCCAAACTCCCAAAGTATAATATGTGCAAATGGCGTCACATGAGGATACTGATTGCTAGTTTTTAATGTAATGGTGGTTACACACAAGCATCTGCAGCCACAGACACTGAACGTTGGTCATCCTTGAGTAGCATAATAAACAGTACTACATGGATTGTTCAACATTTGACGTAACTACAAAAAAGGTTAAAGTTAAATCTAATCAAATGACACATGCTTTGACTTTAGGAGGTCACACACGTATTCAGCATTGTCATGCTTGTGTGGCAAATTAGACGTCTAGGAAGTAAAAGGTTTTTAAAATGTTGTAAAAAAAGATAGTTTCTCTCTTACTGTGTTACACTTTTAAGGGTACAGTTTGCATCATTCCTGATGTTCCACAGCTTCAGTGTATTGTCAGTGCTCAGAGTTGCTAGTACACGACATTTCTTTGAAATTTCAGCTGCTTTTAGTAACCCAGGATCGAAGCCTTGACCGAATTTTTTCAAGATGACTGGAAGACTCCTGCCAGTCGCCATTTTGGAACGCCACTTGAGCCTGCGATAAAACTCGTGATTATCAGCAGAAAATCCCATGATGCTTTTCCAGTGATGACAACTATAATGGCGCAGAGAGGAGTTTCCGGTGAAAGCTGCCTGTAAATGATCGGATATGAAACAAACTAAAGAGCAGATTTTTATTTAAATGTCAAATCAAAGTGACGCGGGCTTTGTGTCTTTGGAAGACGACGAGAGCGATTCCAAGGTAAGCAAAACTTGTTGTTTATAGGCGTATGCGCACCGGCTTTTGTACTTTGTTCTTTGTCGAGCATCACGGCACTTTCAATTAGTGTTTGGCGTTTAACCGGAGATTTTGTTTGTGTGATCCTCGACCTTTATCATTTTGTTTTATCTATAGGTCATAACAAAGGAAGATGTTCGTCTTTCAAGACTTATAAAGCCTTCGCCGCTACAGAAAAGGCTTGGTTAGTATTTCGACACTGCACAAAATATATTTCTAGAAAGTGTTAATTTTAGCGATGAAGCTCACAGGAAGATCGAATTGTCGTCTTCAGATCAGTGATTTGATAACTTGTTAACACATATCCGTTAGGTACTATTCACATTTCTTTGTTTTCCCAAAAAAAAAAATAAAAGAAACTCTTCAACACCGCAGCTTCCTTTAATTTTTTTTCGTGCCTCAATATATAATTATTTCATTTTACTTGGCTTTTGTTAATTATTAGTTTGAGGATTAACATTTAGTTTATTTTTGCGATATGAATTACTAATTTCGTGCAGTATTTTAGCTTAAATATTGTTAGCTGTAAGCCTGCAAATTATGTTATTTTTCTTTCCTATCTCCACACGTTCTAATCCATCCACACAGATTATACCAGGTTGCAAAAAATGTAATTTTCCTGGTTAAAAAAATCAGAAGTTTCATCTTTGTTGCACAATACGTGGCCACTTTAATTCACATCCTATTGAACAGGAATAGTGGCAATGATGAGTGATTTTACATATCCAAGAGGGGAACAAAGAGAGTTGATTCAAGTACATTTAACAAGCTGAATATTGTACACCAAATTTATACATGTACAACATACTGAATATATGTATGAAGCATTAGCATCTCCCCTTCAAATACTCAGTTATTTATTAGTAACATTAATTTGTTGTTTACTTTAGAAGAACATCTCCAAAAATCACGTAAAGCAAATGGTTCAAATGGAATTAAAGGCCATTCAAATGGGTAGGTTGTTACCTGGTGTCTATGGCCTGTCTTTTTTTAAGAAATATTTTAAGAAATATTTTGTTGTCATGTCATGGGTTAATGTAATGTTATTTATTTTATTAGGGTTTCCTCTTTAAAAAATGGTACATTAAAACACAGCAGCAATTCAGACCAAAGACCATTATTCCAACCAGAATCTGACAGGTCAGTTGTTCAAATTTTGGTGTTATTTGAGGACATGTTAAAAATAACCTACATGTAAACTAACTAATAATACGATCTTCTTTTGTTGAAGCCAGTTCGGTCCTGATCAGCTCAGTAATTATTTCCACATGTACATACATGCAAATGGGCGTTTTTCAATAGGCAATCTCATTGTTCATGTACAAATTCTGTCATGGTGAATGGCAAGCTACACACTGAGATGTCCTAGATTGTTTTGAAGGCTATTGAAGTGTTACAATATTTTTTTGGCAACTTTTGTACCATGCAAGCATTTGTTGAAAAAGCTCTTTTATGTCATTGACTGTACTGTTATTCTCTCTTTCCTGATCATGATTTGCATTGTAAAACCTAAAGTTTTTCCAATGCTGCTACTTACAGCAATATTGTTTGTTTTATTTTTTTTTACCATTTATAAAATTATATAAACATCATGTATAAGGCAAGGAAGCCCAGGGAAACCAGTGAGGATAAATTTAGCAAAATTTGTAATGATCAAATAATTTTAGAGACAAATTATATTTGTATAGCTATTAATAGTCACTCTTGTATGTCAATTTGAAAGTAATTTTTCATTTTGTATCAGTGATGAAGAAATAAATGTGACACATTACACCAAGCCACCAAATGTATCTGTTACTCAGAATTCTAAGGTGGGTCCCAGATAACTCTTGCGTTGAATTATTTAAAATTGTCAATAACCTTGGCCTGGTTGTTCAGAGCATAATTAGTTAGGCCAGGATAAGTACAATAATAATAATGATGATGACTTTATTACCGTGTCAATTACATCTAGCAGTGGAGAATCCCTGCTGCTAATAGGGGACACCTAACTAGAACTATCTAAAAATAATATGTTGTTATTTAATTTACCTGCAACATTTTATTGAGGTTTTCTGTAATTAATGACATCCTTTGTTAACTTTTAACCCTGGATTATCATTAGGGGTGTGAAGTGGCTTTGCTTTTAACATTTATTTATAGTGCACTTGACTCTATATTGTGCAGTCTGAGTTTATATCCTGCCTGCAGTCAGTATGTCATGTTCTTGGGCAAATTGTATATGGTACTTTACACCCTCAGTCCACCCAGGAGTATAACTGGGTACAGGAAATTGTTGGCATTGCCTGACAGGATGCTAGTGGGTAACTTGTGAGAGACATTGTAACACTGTGGTTAATTTTCTAACAAAGAAAATTGATGAATTGATGAACAATACCACTGTACTAATATTAACATTTTATAAATATTATTGTCACCTTTTTTTTTTTGGTAGAATCTTGCAGATTGTACACAACAATTATTAAAAGATGGTTACAGGTTGGTATGGTTATGTTTTGGTTAAAAATAACATATATTTCTGGGTTAAAATTTTTCAAAACTGTTAGATTTTTGTGTTCATTACGATGGACAATCTGAAACAAAGGGAAACAGAAATCACTGATATTGGTTTGAAAAATTTTCAGCTAAAAATAAATTTAACCCACAACAGTTACATTATAAAACATTTACTGTGCAAATCACGAATCAAGCAGCTGTGTTTTATCAGGTTGCTCTTACTAAAACTGCCATTGTCAGTTCACTGAACAACTCCAAAAAAGCTTCACCTAATGAAGTTCAAAGCAATCACCCTATTGAGACTGGAGAAGATTAACATCAAAGTGAAACTGAAGATTTTTAGTAACTATCTTGTTATTCATTGTTGTGTTTAAAAAAGACATCTAAAGATTGGTATGAATCAGAATAAAGTGCTTGATTATGTCATAGACAAATAATTGTTGGATGATCTGACATGGCCATAAGCTTCAACTTATTAAAAGTCTAGAACCTAGAACAGAACATTATGCACCATGCATTTTATGTTTTGGTTCTCAAACACCAACAAATTGGTCACGTAGTGTAGCCATTTTAGTAATGATTTCAATAATAATAATTATTGTCAGGTTTTGTTGTGATTTTGATTCATAGACTAGATGAAATATCTGATGAAGAGGACTTAGATCTTATACCACCACGACCAGTGGAGGATAGATGTCAGTGTTGTGGAGCTGTGACGTGGCAAGGATGTGTAATCTCCTGAATACTTCACTTTTGCAACCATGGTTTCCAACATTATTTAAGCAAACTGTTGAGTTCAAATGTTTGTTGATGGTTAGCAGGCTTTTAGATTGCCATCAGTCATGATTAAAATGACAACTGAACATTGCTGCAGGACAGATTGAGTCATGTTTGAGTATTGCACACACGAAACATTTCTCTAATCAGTTTTCAGTAACTAAGAGGCCCTTTTGGAGGCACACTTCTAAGAGGGACATGTCAAATAATCATTTTGACCCAAAACCGTCCATAATAACAGCATGCGCTCCATGACACTGCAATCTATCAGAGACACCATGCAAATCTCTTACATTTTCCTGTCATTATTGCAATGTTTACGATGATTGATAAAATGGCAAGTAAAAAGCCCCACTGCCCATCAATATTTGAATTTTTCAGTTCATGAAAGACAGTCCCATTTTGTAACAGACGAAAGAATTAGTGAACAAATATAGTTTTATATATAATACAGTCTTGTATTTCAAATAAATTGCTGTATGTAGGTCTTAAATTATGCCATTCAATATGTCCAGACAATTTATCTCTTGATTTACTTGCAGTTACATGTATGTATGTCCAGGACATGCACAGTTTTATTTAGAATACAAAGATCTTAATTTAATTCAGGTAAGGAGTCTATTTATGGGTACAAGTAAAATAATATAACTTCAACTCATTAACCTGTGCATCATAAGAAGTAATTCCATGATTGCATCATATCAGAAGCTGTTTATAACGCAGTTGTAATTTTGTACCTTATGTTGCTCCAGAATTCATCTTATCTAGTATTATCTGTAGAATGTTCCGAATGACACAGCTAATCAGATTACATGTTAGTTCTAATTAGTTCTGCAGGAATTGGAGCTTATACCAAAGTTGTTGGTAGCCTGCCAACACAGATGGATTTCCAGCTTTTGTTTTACGCTGCCGCATTTTTCGGTGAAACAAAAGCTGGAAACCCATCTATGTTCACAGGCTAAGTTGTCGGGGAACTTGACCAAGTCTAGTGTCACTGAATTTTTGTAGTTCATAGAAGAAATGAATAATTTTAACCCACCAGAGGCTAACTTCTGATGAGAATGTTTTGTTCCAGAAAATATCCATACCCCTCCCACTTGGAATTTACATTAACCTTCCTTGGGGTGTGTATGGATATTTTCTGGAACTACACATTCTGCTTCGTACTGAACAAGACTGCCATGTTTACTGGAGAGTACTCTTGTTAAAAATAAAACTATTTAGTACTCGTTATGTTAGTCGGGATACTGTTTGGAGCCTTCAGACAAGTTACAAGTGTTATATTTTTAATATCATTATGATTATTCTTCCTAACTATACATACATGTATAAACTAGCTACTGTTGCCCAAGTTCGTGATTAGAGACTGGTTGGGTTTGCCGTTGATTTTAACAAAATGGAGCAATAAAATTGTAATTCTTATGTTCTGGAGCTGCAGATAATAAAGCCTGATTCTCATGTCTTGAGAATGCCTTCAATGTTGTTAGCAGCACTACCTACTGTCTCCAAAACACAAGAATGTGTTGCAGAATCACAGTATTTAATCCCAGTATTTAACAGTGTCTTTATCCTAGGTCTGTGTGGTCTGCGAGCATGCATGAGATTCATGCTGATGTGAGTTCAACTTGTCAAGCATGTTTGTGGTCCTTGTGACATGCTGGCAGGAAGAATATTTTAATGTAAACAACCATCTACATGACTACACAATGTAGTTGAGGCAGTTTCCTGCTTTGATAACAACATCTCAGGCATTCTGGACATATATGAGGACTGGGCTTAATTTAATTCAACTCGCCAGCAATTCGTGGCAAAATTGATTGATCATTTTATGAGACTTAGACCTGTGCTCTTGCATTTAAACCTAGATGTTTCCTTTGTTGTCAATTCATGCCATAGTGATGATTACGGATGTTAACAGGAATGTAAATGAACACTTAACCATGAACATTTTTATTCACTTGTAGATAGTGAATATTTGGTTAGAATGGGGAAATTGTTATTTAAAATGAAGTATTTAATAAAACATGTGTGATACATTGTCATTGCGTGCTTTTGCCTTTCACTTTATGTAATTTTGAAGGCATAATTTCTGTAAACTCCAGTTGGACTTGCCTCCAACTCCCTCCCTTTTAGAAGGAACAAGAAGATCTTTAAGATCTTATAACCGCGCTTTTAAAATTTAACTGTTTTCTTAGCTCTACAGTCGCAATGCAGGGCAGATTCCAAAGTAGTCTTTGATGATTCATTGATTACTGTAGACACATCACTTGATCAACACAAACTGTATTATTGCACCACCAGTCGTAGCCGTTGTGAAATCTCCGATGA